GTTTCTGTATTGTCTCGATCTGTGTTCAATTCATGAATGTCATTTATTTTATTTTGAGAATACATTCGATTGAGTGCATTTGCTTTCATTCGAATAGAAAACTATTGACACTAGATTAATTCTTGGTTTGAATCTGATTGTTGAACGCATTGTCAACGAGTACTTGATCAGTGGATAGACTAATTCACAAGTATCAGCTTGCTTGTATCTGATCCATTTCAAAATTACAAAGTCTAGAATGTTCACTTGTTGTAACTTAGTTTATTCATGAATGGGTCTTAGATACGGATCCAGACTCGTTCAGAAAGTCAATAAAACGCTCCTCTATTGATCGTGTGATAAAACAAGATTTTACATTATTTCGTACTCGGAATCGATAAGGTGGGCGTCAGCTTTCCCTTCATATCCACACTCTGATTATGCGCAACTTTCGAAAGATAATTCAGGTTGATATTGACTTTTGCTAGTACACGCAGTTTGACATAAAGTAAGCTCGAATTCGAACCGAACCCCTAGCTCCGAATTTCAGGAGATTCGGGCTCATTTTATGTCGATGCATAACAATATAGTATTAAGGACAAGAAATCACTAGCTACCATGTGGGGGCAAAAAGAACGCGCTTTTTTTTTATTAAAATAAGCATAGCTAGTTAATCCTCTAGAGTCCTTTAACAGCGAGATAAGAAACAACAATGAGAATGGTAATTGCCAGTAATAAAATTTTGTACAATAAAAGTAGAGATCATAAATTTATTTCTGCACTCATATCAGTATTAACAACTGGTAGTAAGCACACGATGATAGAAAGAAAAGTAACAAATGTTGATGCAGTAGCCAACCGGCGAAAAAAGTGTGTAATAAGTTCTGATTTCCTTCAAACAATATTATTTTCTTATATGTTCTTTTGGTAGAGTAGACTAATATTTGCAGCATATATACTAGACATTTCTATCTCTTATAGTTAGAAAGATACAAGAATATTAAGAATGTTAAATAGAAATCAATAGTTTTAATGAGATTTATAAATGGAAATTCTATAAGAGTTGATGTCTTTTCAATAACGAACAGTCTTCTGACTCTTACAGAAAACTTGAAATTTAAGATGCGCACCATGATGGATTCAGGGTTTTCTAATCTAATACAATTCGTCGAAAGTCTTTATTAGTTACTTGTATCTCTCTGACGATAAGAGGTAGAAAGTTGAAAAATTCTTGTATGGAGTAGATCTAGATGTCCCACATATATGTGGCAAAGATCACCTATTCTACCGGAAAAACATATAAGACAAGAATATGACTTGAAGGAGATCAGAACTTCATACACATCCTTTATTCTTAGTTTTTCTACATCACGAATTTCTCCAGAAACACAATCAAACTTGCACAATGAAAATTTCCTAAATTCATCTAAAGTGTCTCTGTCGACTGAAAGTGAGTATCATTATTAGAATGTATTGGTAATAAACGCAACATACTGGATTGCGATTCATGAATCAGATTTGCTTGAAATTTATTTTACTATCTGACTTTTTTTTATTGTCAATAAGATGAATATTTTGTATTGAGACAAAGAATGATGAGATTAAAGGTCATCATTCTATATCACTGATAAAACAATCAATAAAATAAAAACTTAAGTACCCTTTACTTGAAAGCAGAACTTTTGTTGCAAGTGCAGAAGAAAAACGAAGAAGAGTTTTTTTTAAGACAAAGTAGATCTCAAACTTCTGCACAGTTAGTTAAACATAAGCACAGAATACAATTTTAGTTTGATACGATTATATATCTAGGTAAACAGCGACAATCATGTCGATTGGATTGGGCTGAATCGTCATGGACAAGATGGATACAGATACCATTACTGTTGTGGATAACACCTATTCTCTCCTTGGGTAATAAACGTACTCTTGTTGAAGATGATCTTAGTGATCTTTCTGTCAACGACAAATGTTCACTTTTGTTGAATAGAGTGAATCAGTATAGTTCTAAATGGCAAGGTACATGGCATATATTCAAGCAAACATTTTATAAAGATTTTCTAATAACCATGTTGCTGGTTATTCCATGTGTTATTGCTCGTGTTGCCCAGCCATTGCTTGTTCGTCAAATTGTGCTCTACATTAAAAATCCATTAGAATTACCTGCTTACGCTGGTTATCTATGCACTATTGCTCTTTGCATTTCTGCAATTCTACAATCCATTCTTATCCACCAAATCTTCTTTCGAAATACACGCGTAGGTATGCGCGTTCGCAATGCATTATCATCAACCATCTACAAGCAATTGTTGACCATTAATACAGCAGCTCTTCACAAGACTACTGCTGCTCAAACGATCAATTTAGTAGCAAACGATGCCGGTAAATTTGAAGAATTAAGCGTTCTCTTACATATGTTACTACTGGTTCCTCTGGAAACTCTTGTCACCTTTGGTGCCATTTGGTGGAATATCGGCTTACCGACATTATTCGGCTATGCAGTATTGCTTTTATTAGTACCTATACAGGTCATTTTCAGTAGACAATTTAGCCGATATCGAAAGGATACAATGGCATGTACAGACAAGCGTGTTCAAGCCATCAATGAACTTATCAATGGTTGTCAAATTATTAAGATGTACAATTGGGAAAAAGCAATGGAGCAACGAGTACGTGAAATACGTGGGCGTGAACTTTCGCATATTTTCAAATCTAGCTGCTTGAGAACTCTTAATATTGCACTCTCCTTTGCAGCACTTCCTTTGATTTCTCTTGCCACATTCGGTGGTAGTTGGCTAATGGGTCAAAGTTTGCTTCCAGAAAATATTTTCGCAACATTAGCCTTCTTCGGCATGGTGCGAATTCCAGTCACACTTACAATGCCGCTCACCATCGAAAAGTTTAGCGAAGCTCGTGTTTCTGCAAGAAGAATCGATCAGTTTATGGAACTCGACATACTGTCGAATAAACGTGAAAAAGTGGAAAACGAAAACGGAAATCATGCAATCATAATGGAAGATGCATCATTCTCTTGGAAAGATTCTCTTTCTTTGTTTTCTCTCAATCTCAAAATCAGAAATGGTAACTTGGTTGGAGTGAAAGGTGCCATCGGTGCTGGCAAGTCAACCCTACTAGCTGCTATTCTCGGTGAGATCAATCTTGTTAGTGGAAAATCACAACTTTATGTTAATTCGATTTCCTATGTTCCACAATCGGCATGGATCTTTGCCGACACTATTCGAGCTAATATTCTTCTTGGCAAACCAATGAATGAAGAACGTTACAAGAATGTCATCAAAGCATGTTGTCTTGATGTTGATCTACAGAATTTCGGTGAAGTCGGTGATTTATTGATGATTGGCGATAAAGGTGTCAATTTGAGTGGAGGACAAAAAGCTCGAATATCGCTAGCTCGTGCTCTTTATGCTGATGCCGACTTATATTTACTCGACGACCCACTCGCTGCCGTTGATCCAAAGGTGGCAAAGAACATTTTTGATGAATGCATTGGTCCTCGTAGTCTCCTTCGTGGAAAGACTCGAATATTGGTTACACATCAGACACATTTTTTAGTTGAAGCAGATCAATTGATTCTTTTGACGAATGGTCACATTGATGAATTACATATTGAACAACCTGTTGAAAATGAGTCATCGAATGATATTTCACCAACAGATTCATCAAGTGATACATCAGAAACCAACTCATCGTATGATAAGAAGACAGATTGGACACTTAACACTGCTACAACTGATATGAATTCGATTGTAAAGAGCGAGACATCAAACGATAGTGTCATCAACTGGAGTGTTTGGCTACAACTGTTCACTTCACCACCTTTACGTTGGTTTGGCTTTTTTCTTATGATAATTTTTATGCTTGGTAATCAAGCTCTATACGACTTTACAAATAGTTGGCTCTCTCGATGGTCTGGTAAAGATGAAAGTGAACAACGATCATCATTTTATGCTTACGTCTATCTTGGAGTTATACTTGCTACGTTAATCGTTGCATTAATACGTGCTGGCTATATCTTCTATATCATGTTGCGTGGTTCAACCCATTTTCACAATCGAATGCTCAAAGGTATCTTGTATACTTCGTTACGTTTCTTTGAAAGTAATCCAAGTGGACGAATATTGAATCGAGCAAGCAAAGATCAACAAGTGTTAGATGAATCATTACCTCTGGCTTTAATTGATACTATGCAATATTTACTAATGACTCTCGGTTCTATTGTAATCATTGGAATAACCAACCCATGGGTGCTTCTAGTTCTCATTCCTTTGGTTCCCACAGTTGTGTGGCTTCGTAGATTTTACATGC